TCCTGCTGCACCTTTCATGCAGAAAAGAATTTGAACTAACACTCAACTGTGTTCCTTTCCCTTTGCTCATCACACCAAACCCTTTGTCAGTGTCACTTCAAGCCAAACAATCAATATGTAACTATGACCATGTGCCTGACACAGTATCTACCCACATCACCAAGAAAAACAGGAAAGACTTTCTAGCTAAATTATGTTTAAAAATTAAGCCTTATTATGCACATGAACACAAACAACTTGTTATTTTGAAGAAACAAAAGAAAATACCTCTTCATCATGTCCAATGCCAATATAGAAAGATCTACGGGGCCTGTAATTTCTTCTCAGCAGAAACTCTAGAGCTTGCAGAATACCCTGCAGAAAAAAAAGAGAATGTATTGTGTTAATAAGGTGAATAGATGTAAAAGAATGCAAAGAAATATGATGCATTTACAGCCTTTAAGCAGACTTTGTCCTGTTCACCGTTGAGTTTTTATCTCTACAGCTCCTGCTGATGACATTCATATTCTCTGAAAAACACACTGCAGTATTTTTGATCAATAATGCTTCAGACTTAGTGTGCTACAGTGTCAGTGCAGAGGCCCAAAATACAGTGTGGGCTTGTTCTTTCTGCTGCTGAAGTCGGTGACAAGCTGCACAGGAAGCACAGCAGAGTCACAATTATCCAAGGAATTCACTGTTCCTTTAAACTGCACAGTTTGGCTCTGAGGAGCTGCTAAATCCATGTTTTAACAAGCAGTCTATTTTGTACAAAAAGTGCCAAGATGACAGAAACAGAACAAGAAACTTAATCTGAAGAATGAGCAATCTACCACTGGCTGCATTATTTCACCTCGCCTGTTTAACTTTTAATTTAACCCAGTTAATTTTTTACATTTGAAGAAATTATATTGCCTTTACCTTGCCAGGACCATTTTTGCCATGGTCATTGAAATTCTTTATTTTTGTTGTCCATTTGTGGAGTTAAGTGTGCAGCTCACAGCAGAAAGAAGCACCAAAACAAAGTTTTAAGTTGTAGAGATTTGAAACTGATGATTAAATAACCTGAAGAAACCTTCTAGGAGTATGGCCTGTGCTGCACTAGGTGTCTGTGACACTGGTTTTCTACACATTTAAATACAGGGCTGCCACAGATGTCATCTTTGCAAGTCACAACAGACTATTTTCCTTATTAATTTCTCCATCGACCTTTTCCCAAGTGGGAAATCCTTTACAGATCAATCTTTTTTTTTGTACTTTATGCCTCCTAAGTGTACTCAGTACAACATCTCTTTGTTCTGCCAGACTAGATGAAAGATACAAGGTTATTTGACTATAATATTAAAGAAACATTATTTATTTTGAAACTCAAGCCTTTTCAAAAGCCTAATTTAGGCTTTGAATGCCCACGTGGGAAAATTAAAGGTCTAGCCTTGATTTCAAACACAGCATTTGATATAAACTCAAATATGGCATTTAAGCAAATCCATCTGCATCTGTGATTATGTTTTTGTGTCTCTTTTAAGTGTTAACTCTGCTTTCTCCAGTAATAAAAGACTACTCCATCTCTACAGAAAGTTGTGACAAACCTGGAGGGCTTAAGAATTTCACTGACATCCTGCATTGAAAGAGGGGCAAGAGAGACAATATAGGAAATTTCAAGGGAATAGATTCCTCCCATCTGCCTCTGTCAGGCCTTGTATCTCTCCAAAATTATATTACCAAGAGGACGTACGATGGCAGAGTTTTTGTTATCCAGAGTTCCTCGTCCATAGATGAAACCTTCATGCTCTGCAGCTGAGAAGGGAGGGAAGTCCCAGCCCTCAGGGGGAGCAGGCACAACATCCATGTGTGCCAGCAGCATATAGGGCAGCATGTCAGGGTTGGAACCCTGAACAGTGAGGAGGTGGCTGTACTGCCCAACAATTTCATGCTGAATGAACTCTGAAGAAAATACAGCTGGGAAGACTGTTAAGAAAAAAAAATGCAGAACAGGTGAAAAAGAAAAATGAACAATAAAGTCCAACTTTCTCATTACATACTCCCCAGAGCAGCCATCCACTCAGCCCCAAGGGGAGCACCAGAAATAAGACCAACCACAAGAAATTGGCTTCAGGAAGCAGATGTGCAGCTTCATTCTCACACTCCTCCCAGTCCAGCTCGCTTTGTAGTTCAGCCTTTCCTGAGCAAAACCAGCAACTGTTGTTCACCAGTGCTGCAGCTGGTGTGCAGGTAGCAATGATGGGACTGCCAAAAATGGAGGCTGCAGCAGGGGGAGTCTTTTTTTAAAATTTGTTTTTCTTCTATGGCAAGGTCACTGAACCATCTCAGCGAGCAAGCCCCACCAAAACCTACACCTACACCTGGCCTTCCTAGAGGCAAAACAAAATAACAACCCCTTCCATTAGACTCAAGAACCATAAGAGTCTCTGTAACTTGTTTGCAATGATAAAACTGAGCAGTAGGGAATGCTAAGAAACAAGGTTTTGTACCTTTCTGAATGTAATTTCCAAATTCTGCCATGGCAGTTGTATTCAGATCCTCTGGAGTCGTGGAAACAGTTGGGATTTTAATAGCACCTTCAAGGAAATACAAAAGAGAAATCGTTGGACACTGAAATTTATTCTCACAAACAATACTTGAATTGTGTTTCAAAAGGGACAGCAGTATTTATGTTCCTGAGTATTTTCCAGGCTTCAAGGATTATGTCACAGGACAGTAAGAGGTGCCACTATCAAGACTGATGTACTTCAGCTGAGCTGTCAGCACACAGCACACTGATATTTCCTCCCAGTTTCAGCCAAGGTGTTTCTGTAGACACTTCAACTCCATTTCAAGTGTTGAGTGACAGCTAGAAATGCTACTGTCCAGAAGCAGCTGCATTTTCTTAGTGACCTGACTCCTCACAGCCATAAACTATTCTGACAGCTAAGCAGGCAGCTTAGCTGGCAGTTCAAGGTTCTTTTTCAGAAGCCAAGTTGTGATGGCAAGGTTGTTGTAACACCTTCTTTTGCAGTGCTCCAACCTATTAAGACATATAAATAGACAGGTCTTTTGTTTGTCCTACACAGAAGACTGCCAGAAAGCACATAAACACTGTGACCTGTTACAGACTGGCTGTGTGCATTTAAGTGTTGGGCAAGGTCTCAGCCAGCAATAAAGGAAAAAACAACACAGGAATGATTATCCCGTGGACAGAGACATCCAGTAAAAGCAGTCACAAGGTGCCTGGAGCTTTCTGTGTGTATGAGACAACTCTGAAGAAATCACCATGGGAAGAAAGCTGGCTTCAGAGGAATGAACTGGTTTCCTCCAAAGGGAAAGCACCTGAGGAATCATCACAGACTCAGGGCTGGAAGGGACCCCTGGAAATGATCTCATCCTGCCGCCAGAACGGGGTGCCCAGGATCACGTCCAGGCGGGTTT